CAAATCACTGAATCAAGTGAGTCCTACAGTGTCAGTATGTTCCTGTTTCACTAAAACTCCCATATGTTTCAGCAATGAACAGAGTTAGAATCATCTAAATGTAGTAGTATTGTGCAAGAAGCAAGTTAATCAACTTCTTCTTTCATGAGGCAAAAAATAATAAAAAATGGATATAAATAACTTAGCTCTTTCCTGGATGACCTTAGCTTATTCAGGAACTCCTGGCCCCAACATATACCAACTATTTCATGTAAATGTAACCCAGTAGAAAAGGTCTATTAAAATGATTAAGGATTCATTTTATGCATTATCCTACAGTTTTTGAAACATAGGAAAATCCCACTGGCTTTCACAGTTGCTGTGCAAGTATAAAAGACAACCTTCAACCCTTAACTGACAGGAATTTAAATATATTAATTTATATTTTATTACATATCTAATACTGTAAATAAGTAACATAGGATAGTTAATATCAAGGCATTAAATTAAAATGTAATGCAATGGTACTAATAAAAGTTTGTACTCTGAACAGTGTTTTAATTTGACATGTCATTTTCATTATGAGTAAGGTGCATAAATCAGGTTTATTGTTCTCAGCATGTGATACATTTTAAGGTCTGTATTTTAACGTTTTGACTCCATCTACTTACTCAAGTCAAATGTCTATTGAAGTTAGAGTTTTCTTGAATAAGAACTACATTAAACCCAAGTAAATGCTCCAATCACTGAGCTATGGGATATTCTGATGTGGTTCTCCTTCAGTCTCTCCTATTGAGGTGTTCCACTTAAATTTAAATTCAATGAAATAATTGAATAATTAAATATTAATTGGGCTCATAGGCGCCGCTTTCCCCTGGGTGCTTGACCCACCCTCTGCCCCCAGCCCCACCCCCATTCCACCCCTTCCATGTAGCCCCACCTCTGCCCCGCCCCCATTCCAACCCCTTCCCCAAAGTCCCTGCCCCAACTCCACCCCCTCCCTGCCCCTATTCCAATCCCTTCCCTAAATCCCCGCCTCTTCCCTGCCCCCTCCCCTGAGCGTGCCGTGTTCCCGCTCCTCCCCCTGCCTCCTGGAGCTTGCTCATGCCACCAAACAGCTGTTTAGTGGCATCCAGGCAGAGGAGTGGGGATGCGGTGCGCTCGGGGGGGAAGAGGAGGAGGCGGAGGAGGGGTGGGAGGGGAGCTTGGCTGCCAATGGGTGCAGACCACCCACTAATTTTTCCCCGTGGGTGCTCCAGGGCTGGAGCACCCATGGAGTCGGCACCTATGATTGGGCTAGAGAGAGTGAGAATCACCCAGTGGTTAGAACACTCACCTGAAAGGTGGCAGATCCCTGTTCAAATCCCATCTCATCAGGCAGAGGGAAAACTTGAACCTCCTGCATTATAAGTACTGTAAGTACCCCAACCAATGGGCTAAAGGTTATAAGTAGGTTTGATATACCCCCCCAATAATTTCAATGGATAATACTGATGTTTATTTTTAAGCATTTTTAAAAAATGTTTAATCTATTTAAATTTTCACAGTTGCAGGAAATTATGGGGGGGGATCAGACACTTATTTAATGACAGTAGACATTGAGATTCAGAAAGTTAAAAGTTTATAACCATTTAAAACACAAATTCTCAACCTCACATACCAAAATATACAAAGCAGATAGCCTTCAATCAAACTCTAAGTTCTCAAGCAGCCTTTTTCTTCGCTTATTGTAAATTTCAATGATCATCAATGGAAATATTTTTTCATCAGTTTGTGTGTGTACTGTGAAATTGACTTTACTAAGATTTGCCAATTTAAAAATCTAATTTTTCAAAGCCTAGTTTGAAGGGAGGTCCCCCCCTGGCTGTTTTGTGTGGCATTAAGGAGACTCTGAGCACACCTACCAGACTGGGCTCTGCACACGAGTTAGGCAGAGGAGCCCCTATATTCCCCGCTCATGGCTCATTCTGGGGCATAGACAGGAGCTATGAACCCAGACACCTAAAGGGAGGCAGAAGCGTGCATGCCCAGAGGCAGGAACATAGGTGCTTAGGGAACTTCTATTGCAAAAACTTAGGAGCCGAGTGACTTTAGGCACCTACAGGGTTGTGTGGTAGCTGAGCAGCAGTTTTGTGGATCGCAGTGGCACCTAAAACAGGACTTAGGCTCCTAACTCACAGATTTAGGCACCTATGTCCCTTTTTAGATCCAGGCCTTAAATCATTTTTCATGCTATTAGGCCCACTGATGTCAATGGGACTGCTCAAATGACTAAGGGCTCCTCACACAGAGGTTTCTCTGACTGAGCCCCAGTAGTGTAAAGAAAACTTTACAATGAACTGAGTTTTGCACAGCTCTAATTTAAATACACTTTTCACAGCATTATGAAAAAACAGGATGCGTGTGTCAATAACTTGTACTGCTATTTCTTTGGCTCATCATCTTCACAATCCTTAACAATTTTTATTTACAGTATTTTAATAAAGGATTTAAGGGCCTGATTCAAATTCCATTGAAGTCAACGTAAAGACTTCCATTGACTTCAGTGGGATTTGAATCAGGTCCTTAAGCACCCTTTAAAGTGTATTTTAGTGGTTCAGTAATATATTCCATTCTGGAATGACTTGATGTATTTCCAGTCTTGTGCTACCCGTCCTCTCTTCACAGCTCATGTTTCCCTCCCTGGGCTCCTCATCCAGTCTCAGTGTCTGCCCCCCCCCACTCCTCACCAGTCTCTTTGCCCAGCCAGTGCCAGTTCTCCCCTTGTTCCCTGGCTCATCATCTGATCTATTCCGCTTCCTCCACCCCACTGGTTCTCAGTCCCAGTCTCTCTCTTGGTTCTTCAGCCAATTTCAGTCTCCCCATGACCTATCACCTCCCCTAACCATTTTCTTCCCAGACTCCTAGTCTCCTGGATGACCCAATCCCAGTCACCCACCACCCCCAGCTTCCAGTCTCCTTGTCCAGCCAGCCCTAATCTCCCTCCACCTAACTCCCAGTTTCCATCCCCACCTCTGCCAGCCTCTCCTTTCTCAGGCTGCTTGTTCCAATCTATACCCCCCACAGGTCCAATTCTTGTCCCCTCTTTATTCAGATCTGGCAGGTTTCTTATCACTGCTGTTTGGCCCAGTAGTGGCGTTACTGAGAGCACAAGAAGGACAGTCTCCCTGCTCACGGTTAAGGTGCCCAGATCTAGCATGATCTGCAGTGTCCCAGGGCTGAAATTTCATGGAAAGTCCTAATCAGCCCCATGCTGGAGCATGCCCAGGGTGGATGGACTCTTCAGGGAATTTAGCTGCTCCAATCTAAGAAATCTTTACTGAACATAAGGTTGCCAGGCGTCCGGTTTCCAGCTGACCAGGCTGCTAAAAGTCCAGTTGGCCGCAGTGGCCGGCTCCATGCAGCTCCCGGAAGCTGCCAGCATGTCCCTCCGGCTCCTAGGTGCAGATGTGGCCAAGGGGGCTCTGTGCACTGCCTCTGCCTGTGGCGCAGACACCACCCTGAGCACCGGCTCCGCAGCGCCCATTGGCCGGGAACCCCCACAGATTCCCCATAGGGAACCCCCCTGCCCCAGCCCTGAGCTCCCTCCTGCACCCAAACTCCCTCCCAGAGCCCACACTCCCTCGTACACTCCCTTCCACAGCTGGACCCCTCGAGCCCCGGCGCAGAGCCCCCACCTGCACCCCAAACTCCTCAGCCCCAGCCTGGAGCCCTCACCCCCTCCCACTCCTGCCCCAACCCAGTGAAAATGGAGTGAGTGAGGGCAGGGGAGAGTGAGCGACAGAGGGAGGGGGGATGGAGTGAGCAGGGGTAGGGCCGATGGAGCAGGGGCGGGGCCTCGTGGTGGGGCAGGGGACGGGGCAAGGGTGTTTGGCTTTTTGCAATCAGAAAGTTGGCGACCATAGTGCCAACTTGATTTTTCAGAGGCTTGTAACTTGGTCAAATTTGGGCAGCTTTTCATGGGATGGCAAAAGGTACATCTCTGGCACAAAGACCACCCCCTGCCAAATTTCAAGACCCTGCTGCAAAGCATGGGGACAGCTGAGCTTTTCAAATAAAAGGTCTCAAGAATTTTTAAACATGGGCAAAATAACGTAGAATCATAAAAATGTAGGGCTGAAAGCGAGGTCATCTAGTCCAGTCCCCTGCACAGAGGCAGGACTAAGTATTATCTACACCATCCTTGACAGGTGTTTGTCTAACCTGTTCTTAAAAATCTCCAATGACAGAGATTCCACAACATTCCTGGATAATTTGTTCCAGTGCTTTACTACCCTTATAGTAAGGCAGTTTTTTCTAATGTCTAATCTAAATCTCGCTTGCTGCAATTTAAGCCCAATACTACTTGTCCTGTCCTCAGTGATTAAGGAGAACAGTTTATCACCCTCCTCTTTATAAACTTTTATGTACTTCAGGACTGTTATCATGTCCCCTCTCAGTTGTCTCCAGACTAAACAAACCCAGTTTTTTCGATCTTTCCTTCTAGGTCGTGTTTTCTAGACCTTTAATAGTTTTTGTTGCTCTCCTCTGGATTTTTCTCCAATTTGTCCATATCTTTCCTCGAGTTCCTCCCAACACTGGACACTACTCCAGTACATATTTTCCCGTAACTTTGTTCTCAGAAACAGCTGAGTTGTTCTCGTTGAAATTTTCCAGAAATGATAAGCATGAGGCACACACCCAGCACGGAAAATTTCAGCTCAAAAGTTTGGTAAAGTTATAAGTAACTGATAGGGTCTTATAATGGGAAATACTGAGCAACTTTAATGATTGGCAGTGCTACCTGCCCTGTGTATAGTAAGTATGATAAATACAAATGAAGTCATCATTTAAACTTCTCTTAAAGTATAGCATGAGCACACAATTTCTAGCAATATTTTAATTAAGACACAATTCTCCATCCTTAAAGGTATTTCTTGGATTCAAGAAAAAAAATTATACTGATTTGGATATCAGTGGGTTTCTTAATATATGAATGAGATTCGCTGTTTAACTACAATATTTCTTGCTCATTTATACAGGATTAAAATTTTTGCCAAATTTGGGACCAGGAAGAAATTTCCACCGCATTCCCATGACTTGGATTGTGGTGGATCCTTTCACTTCCTCTGAATCAACAAAGACGGGATCATCAGGTAGGCATACCTCACTCAGAAGTTTTCTTTCATTTGCTAGGTGCTGTACTAAAAGCAAATTGAAAATTTGTATTTTTGACCTAGTTTTCATCCTGCTCTAGAATATGTATTCAGTACTTCAGAGAACAGCATACCATTTCTAAATAACATCATTCCAGCCTCAGTTAAAAAATTACTAATAATGCTATTAACTATAGAGGAAAAAAATCTGCATTATATTTTCAGGTCAGTTTCCTAAAAGCCTGATGTAATTCCATTATCTATTTTCAACTACAGTAACTCCTCGCTTAACATTGTAGTTATGTTCCTGAAAAATGCTACTTTAAGTGAAACAATGTTAAGTGAATCCAATTTCCCCATAAGAATTAATGTAAATTGTGGGGGTTAGGTTCCAGGGAATTTTTTTTCGCCAGACAAAAGACTATTTCTGTGTGTGTATATGTGTGTGTGTGTGTATACATATATATATATACACACACATATACACAGTATATGTTTTAAACAATTTAATACTGTACACAGCAATGATGATTGTGTAGGATGGTTGAGGTGATGGAGTCAGAGGGTGGAAGAGGGTGGGATATTTCCCAGGGAATGCCTTACTGCTAAATGATGAATTAGCACTCGGCTGAACCCTCAAGGGTTAACACATTGTTGTTAATGTAGCCTCACACTCTACAAGGCAGCACGAATGGAGGGGGTGGGGAAGACAGCATGGCAGAGAGAGAGAGACTGTGTGTGTGTGTGTGTGTGTGAGAGAGAGAGAGAGAGAGAGAGACTGCACTGCCCCTTTAAGTATGCTGACCCCACTCTAAGTACACTACCTTTTTAAGTTGATCAGCAAGTTGAGACAGCAGCTGCTGCCAGCAAGCTCCCTCTGTCCTGAGCCCTGTCGTGTCCCCCGCTGCTCTGTGGAGATGGCCAGATGGGGTAAAGGAGCAGGGAGCAGGAGCGGGACACCCTGACATTAGCACCCCTCTTTCCCCCCCCCCCCAGCAAGCAGGAGGTTCCCAGGAGTAGCTCCAAGGCAGAGGGCAGGAGCAGGCAGTGGGGGAGGGACAGATGAACTGCCTGGCAATTGATAGCCTGCTGGTCGTCTGCCGCACAGGGAACTTAGGGGAGGGGGGAGCTGATAGGGGGGCTGCCGGTCCACCCTGGTTCCAAGCCCCCACCAGCTAGCGCCAACGGGTTACTCTTTCTGCAAGCAGTGAACAAAGCAGGTGGCTGCCAAACAAAGTTGTAAGGGAGCATTGCGCAACTTTAAACGAGCATGTTCCCTAATCGATCAGCAACGTAACAATGAAACAATGTTAACCAGGATGACTTTCTAAGTGAGGAGTGATGAACTGGTGATTGTAATTTTAAAGACAAAACTA